CGCCATCCTCCCTGTCAGAATTTGCACCTCCTTGATCGTTCGCGGCGGTTCATGTCCATCACTGCTTGGAATTTTTCCGGATTCACCTCGACGCCCCTCTCCGTGACCATGTAACCTAAAAAATTTCCAACTTGTACCCCGAAAGAACACTTAGCGGGGTTAAGTTTCATCATGTATTGTCTTAACTTGGCGAACGTTTTTTTCAAGTCTTAAATGTGAGTCCTTGCCTCCTTACTTTTGTAGAGCATGTGGTCGACATAAACTTCCATATTTCTCCCTAACTGGCTGCGAAACATCGCATCGACAAGCCTTTGGTAAGTCGCCCCGGCATTCTTCAAACCAAAAGGCATTACTACATAGCAATATATGTCCGCTGCAGTGACGAAGCTGACGTTTTTTTGGTCGTCGGGATGGAGCATCATTTAATGGTATCTCTGCGAGGCATCTATCATACTTAGCAATTCGCATCCTGCAGTGGAATCCACCAATTGGTCAATCCTCGGAAATCAATACATATCCGCCATTTTCCCTCCGATTTCTTAACTAATACTGTGTAAGATAGCCAGTTAGGGAACTGGATCTCTTTGATATGCCTCGATTTCAGAAGCTTCTCCACCTCGGCCGCCACTATTGCGTCCTTATCTGCCCCAAAATGTCGTCTTTTCTGTTTTGCCGGACGAGCATCAGGTCGAATGTTCAGTCGATGTTGAGCTAGGCTTGGATAAATACCCTTTAAATCCTGAGGACTCCAAAAATTGGGTTAGCTCGCGTGAGAGCTCCTCTTCCATCCCACTGCCAATTCTCGTAGTCTGCCTGGCTGCTGCAGTTTCAGCTCGATTGTCAATAACTCCTCATTCGGCACCACCCTAGGTTATTTGGTATCTAGGTCGATTACATCTCGAATATCTCCCAATGTATTTACCAACTTGCCCCACTTTCTACTTCCTTTCTGCACCCCGTCTGCATAGCAACGCCTCGCGTCCTCTTGATCCCCCCTAACCTCGCCTACTTTCCTTCCAACTGGGAATTTTAACTTCATGTGAACCCTGGACGAGATAGCCTCAAACTTATTTAGAGTTGGTCGCCTCAGGATCACATTGTAAGTGGACGGGGTGTCCATCACTAAGAAATGCACCGTGTGGGTTTGAGTCAGGGTCTTCGTCCCCAAAGTGATCTGCAAGGATACCTCGCCAATTTCTTCTTCAACCTCGCTTGAGAATCCGTAAACCGGGGTTTGCACTGGAGTAACTTTTAAATCTCCCAACCACATCTGATCTAAACAATCCTTGTATAAAATATCCATTAAACTACCATCGTCAATGAATACCCGCAATACATCATACCCCCGCGATATGAGGTGTAATCACTAAAGCGTCATTATGGGGTCGAATCACGCCTTGCTTATCATCCTCACCGAAATAGATCGTCGGCGAACTTTCATGGACATGGTGTACCTTCCTCCCCTAGGAACCGGCTTTCCTACCGACCTAGAATACTTCTTCCGCGCCCTATGCGCATCTCCGTCCATAGGATCTCCCATAATTATCCTAATATGATTCCTCGGCCCTTCGGGTGATCTGTGTCACCGAGCTACGGGATTCGGGACATGATCTTCCGCTTGCTTTCTTACAAACTTATCTAGTCTGTTCTCCCGAGCTAACCTCTCTAGCACTTCTTTTAGGTGGCTACACTCAACAGTGTGATGGCCATACCTGTTATGATACCTGCAGTAACCTCCTTGACTGGGGCCTTTGGGAAGCGTCATTTGGTATGTCATCGGCCAACGAATATCAGGTCCTCCTTCCACCGCCATCAGTACTTGAGTAGGCTTCTTACTGAGAATTGCGTAGCTAGCGTATCAAGGTTTCCTATTTTTCTGAACGGGTGCCTCGCGAGCGGGGGCGTGCTAGCGAGGTCCCACCGGGTCTCTTCTACGAGGAGAAATCCCCGCCGGGGCACGCTTAGCAGGCATCACATCTATCTCTTCCTCCTTCATTTTCCTCGCCTCTTCCATGGTGATGTACTTCTACGCCCGCTTCAGAAGTTCGTCATACGTCAAAGGTGCTCGTTTTGCAGCCGACCTAAATAGCTCGCCATCCCTCAGTACCTACATTACAGCATTAGTAAGCACATCCTGGGAAAGGCCGGGCACCTTTTGACTGGAGCTCGTGAACTGATGTAAGAAACTTATCAAGGACTCCTGCTCTTCCTGTCGAACAATGAAAAGTGTGAGAGACGACTTATTCTGCTTTTTGGATTTGGCGATCTGATCCAGCAACATC